GAGGAAATGAAGTTTGTATAAAAAATGGAACAGAAAGTAATATAAGTTCGTAGGGTAAAATATCATTGTTTTTATCGATACAAACAATCATGTATTTTCGAGATCACGAATGGCTTTCGCATTTTCAATAAAAAGAAACATCCATCCTTTCCATTTGTTATTTCGGTTATTTCAATCCGCTTAAGGTTGCTTTTGTCAACATATATACCTGATCGTGAGCTTGGCGGCTTGTTTAGCCCCGGCTCGAGCCCGCGAGCGCTCGAAGCGCGAACCGAGTTTATCCTGGAAAGGAATTTCCCTTTGTGGGGCCTCCGACTTGCCGGCCGACACAGGACCCCCTTGGCCTAGGGCCTGTTTTTGGGCCGTAGTTAAAAACGACGCCGTTTTGGGGACTCGAGATCAGAGAGACTCAAAGCACACGACGGCGTTTCAAGCGGGAGCAATTAGGGTTTCTGAGGCAGACCATCTTCTTGAGGTACACTCTATACAAACAGCAGTCCCCATCGACGGTTCTCCCAACATCTCTTACGCATCGAAATCCGGCTACCTACACGTCTTACGATTCTCTTTGTAGATCTGAATCTCCTCCATCCGATACGACGCCTTGGCCTGCCTTGTTCTGTTTCTTCTTCTTCTTGGTGTTTTCGTTGGCGTGCGTCCTGCGTCGTCCTCCTCCTTTCCGATTCGAACTATTTTCTTGTCTGAATGAGTGAGGGGGCTGAGCAGATGATGAGAAACGATGTGATTGAATGCTCTGATTGGATCGCTCCATGAAGTTTCACCAAGATCGAGCTTTTTAAAACTGATGCTCAAGCCCTTCCTTCTCATGAAAAATTTCATCTTCTTTTTTTTTTTTTTGGTTTTAAATTTTTCAGTCTCGATGAACGGCTAGCTCTTTGCCTTCTTTTATTCAATGTTAATGTTGGTGGGATTTATATTTTCTTTCTTTTCTTTTTTTAGGTCGAATGTTGGGAGAATTAAACCACATATATATTTTGTTTTAGATTTTTCTAGACTTGCAAAGCGAGGTTTTAGATTGCGTTAAGAATCGGAATCCCGGTTAATTTTAAACATAAAAGATGAGATTTGCTCGATCGCAAGTGTGTAAATGAATTTGCCTTAGCGGTTGTTCGTCCGGATACATACAGGAATTTGGTTGCACTTTTTTTTCAAAACTTAATTGCGCATTGGACAAATTGAATATCGAGAAATATTCAATTCTGTTAAATTTTGTTAAATACATACAGGATTATGTATATATTCATGTGTGTTTATGTATATATTAGACAATGCAGAGTCCGTATAGGGTTGCAGGGAGGGTGGGAGGCACATGCTGTGGAAGCGAATGTCCAAAGAAGTCCCACGTCGCAGTGTTTCGGTTCTCGTAATTATGGGGAAACACCATCATGCATGCCAAAGGCCCGCCCCATTAATTTGTTTATAATCACCCAATTAAATAACCTCCATCGTTGTAAGTGCTTCAATTAATATCTTTTATTAATCGATTAGTTAACTGTGTTAATGCCAAGCAAGTGTGTCATCCTGCAGAGGTCAGACATAAGGGCCCCGTCTTTTCCTGATGAATAGTGTCCCTGGTACTAGTTAAGATTACTAGAATTAGCTATAACCTATATAAACGCATTTTGAAATTTGAAAGGGGATAAGTTCTAAAAAGGTAATGTGCTTCAAATAGATATATTAACATTTCAGTGTATGAGTTAATCCTTAGAGACACTCTTTAATATTTTCCTTTATGAAAAGGCATCATGTTAGCAAGTGTACCTCGAGCGATTATCAAGCATACTCAATTTAAATTTTCCCTAATCGATTGTTTGACTGAACATTTGTTGGCAAAATCCTTACAAAATAAGGGCATGTCCGGATTGCATTTTTTTTTTCACCCTTTCTAATTAATATCTTGCGATTTACGTTCTCTTTTTACTTTTCTAACACCCCAAACACTTGAAAATTTCACATAATGCAAATAATGACACACTGATTTATATATGATGTTTTCATAATTCTAGTACTTTTTTTTTCTCTTTTAATTAAGTTGAAGCATAAATTTTAATTTAAATAATAAATTCACATGAGATTTAAGTATGAACTTTTTTTTTTGTAAAGCTCATTAATAACTTGTCATAGCATTACTCTCTTTCAATAGAGAGCAGCTAAAAAAACTTATGTTTAAGATATTAAGAGAAAAGGCACGCCCATTTCAAATGCTAAAAATAATCACTTTGTCAGTCGACCGTGACTCCTAAGGTTACGCCCAGTACTTTATTTCCATTTTCATGTCATAATAAAAGCAACTTTTCTGCGCCCCTGGGGAAGGGGAGAAGGCAGCGGACAGAAGCCAGAACGAAAGCAGAGAGGCAGAAATAGGAGCAGGGGGGCAGAGGCACAGAGGGAGAGAGTTCCGAGAGAGAGAAAGAGAGTTCCGAGGGAGAGAGTTCCTCGAGAGAGCTCGAGAGAGCTAAAGGAGAGAAATCGGGGAAGCGGGCGAGGGAGAACCGGAGAGAAAGGGAGGATGAGGTGAAAAAGAGAGATCTTGAGGGTGAGAAAGGAAGAGAGAGCCTCACCCGCTCGCCGGAGGGCCGCCCGAGTCGCCGTCGGTGCCGACGAGCTTCCAGTCGCCGCGCTTCATCCCGGTCGGTCACGAACCAGGTGGGTCTCCATAGCTTTCCCCTGTTTTGGCTTCTCCTCTCCCCTGCCTCTCGGGTGCCGGGCACACCGAGTCCGTTCGGTGATTGCTCGGCCCCGTCGACAGAGGCTAACATTCGTTCGACACTCCATGAACCTTTTCTGAGCGTTGGATGTTGAAAACAAGCCGTGAGCCTAGTCAAAATCGGATCTGTTGATCCATTTTTTTGGCCGCCTGAAGCTATTTAAGTTTTAAATGTCGAATCTGGTCGCGTTTTTTTTTTTTTTAGCGTTCTATCGCAAGCCGAGACGATTTTTTGACGAGATATGGTTCCTTAGATCCTCACACTCCATGTTCAAGAAAAAAATCGCACCGAATGTCAATCTTAAGCCCCTGCTCGAACTCGCCCACCACCTGTTCGACAAAATGTCCGACTGAAACTCCGAGTCCCTTTTTGCAAAACCGACGCCCTAAAGTTTTGTTATATGCTTGAATGGTTCTATTGTAGTTACTGATCCCAAGCTTTCCTTGTTTTTTCATGTGTTTGTATGGCATATTCCGTTGTTCCCCGATGTCGGCCATGGACGTGCACACGAGTCGGAGTCAACATTCATTTTCCGGTGAGGCCTTGGGTCGAAGTCCCACCGTGACAGTGTTCTATGCCTGATTTTGTGTATGTATGCTTGTGTGTTCAGGCTTAGCGTCTATTGTTGGGACCGAATGTTGGATTGTCAGAAAGTGCGTTTGTCGCCGGTGGGGAGTTCTGACTGTTTCTCTAAGGGGCTGGTGTGGTCACCGGAAAGTTGGCCGGCGGTGATGGCGTAAGGCCAGCGTCCGTCGTCGACGTTGGCGGCCCGAGCCGACGGACGGCGGTGGGCGTTCCCGGCGTAATCCCAGTGACGGCATGAAGACGTTCTTGATGAAGAAAGAAGAAAGCGTTCTGGGGAGAGACGTCCAGAAGGGCACGCAAAGAAGGGAAGAAGACCAGAAAAGAAAAATAGAAAAAGAAAAAAAGAAACAAAAAGAAAAAACAAGAAATAAAGAGAGGGAAAATGGGAAAACAAAAAATTCGGAAAAGAAATAGGAAAAGGGGGGTCCCGGGCGGGTCAGAGAGCCGGGTCAGGTGTCGGCCGGATCGGGTCAGGGACCCGGTCCGGAATCTTTATTTTATTAAAAATATTAAAATACAAAAATTCAAAAAAATATATATTAAAATATTAAAAATTCCAAAAACAAAATTCGAAAATGTTTAAAAATCCCAAAAAAATTAATTAAATAAAAAAATAAAAAAATATTTAAAAACTCAGAAAAATTTAAAAAAATTCAGAAAAAATTCAGAAAAATTCCAAAAAAATCAAAAAATTAGGAAATGTTTAGAAATCAGTTTTGGGCTTAATTTCACTAGATTTTAAATTTAAAAAAATGAACGAAAAATGAGAAAAATCCTCTAAAAAATTTCCAAAATTCGGATAAGCCATTAGGGCTTTACTTTAGGGCTTTTGGTTGACTTTTTCTTTCTAGAGACGATGCTAGGTCACTGGTTGTTCATTTTCTTTATGATTATTTGGTTGCGCATTTTTAATATATTGATTGTTGTTTTCTATTTTTAGAACGGTTAGGCGGAATCGTAGCTTTTTCGATAAGCTGCCCGGTACGTTAGTTTGCGAGCATTCAAGTTTAGGTATCGAAAGGGCACTAGTTAAATTGCTAGTGTAATCAAGTCCCCGAATTTTAGAATCTTTGATTTTCGCGCGTATCAAGATGATACTCCCGCGTCTCGATCAGGGTGTCTAGCCAACCCTTGATCATGGCTAGTGCGCGACTCCATTCAAATGCGTAAATTAGAAAATTCTCGTCGCACGAGGTATGAGGCTTGGGAGTGCGTTAGTCTTTGGATTAATGAACTATTTGGTTTGTCTTTCAAATGAATCAATCGTTGTTCACATCCATCGACAAATACCTCTTGGCCTAAATCCGATCGGTTCAGGTAGGCCGCGACAGAGAGTACCAACCGAAGCTCTGTGAATTTATTGCCGTTTCTATTTTCATGTTTATGACTGTCATAAACATGGAAATGGCAACAAATTTACAAAGGTGATATAAAGAGAACAGCATGGCCTCACTCGAAAAGGGGTTGCATGTTTAATTTACTAAAATTAAGAAACTGGAGGTCTTGTCTGAGCGCATTTAGCAAAGAGCAATCAGATTCACAAGCCCTTGCTCCTACGTTGGTTTCATTGTAGTTTGTAAGAAGTCACAGTGTACTGTATTCCAATATAAAAAGCACAACCCGAGTATTATTCATGCGTCGTGCTCTGCTCTCTGTCTCCTTTGGTCTCTCTTCTTCTTCTACACCATGTCTTCGCACGAGATATCGATCATCGACCACGAGATCAAAGAATACACCCACAACATATACACTGTAACCTTCCACGACTACAGCATTCAGACCATGGTCACCCACTCTCATTCCATCGCAGCCGACTGGCTCACGTCCTGCAGCTCCGAGCTCCGCGATGTTGGCTCGTCCCACAACTTAGAGCTCCACATCATCGGTCTGGACATCGGATGGTTTCCCAACTTGCATGACCAAGACAACCCAGTTGCACTCCTGCAGATTGCAGTGGGCACGCGTTGTCTGATTTTCCTATTTCAACATGAGCCTGGCATCCCCCAGTCCCTCCTCGGCAACTGCTCCTACGTCTTTGTCGGCGTTGGAATCCACGATAACGTCCAGAAGCTGGTCAACCACCACGGCCTCAATGTGACCAATGTGAAGGACCTGCATGACTGGGCGGAAGGATGTGATCGGGCTGAAGGGCCTCGATCTTGAGCGACACGAACGCGTCCACGCAAGCGTACTGGACTTGCGCACTAGTAAGCCTGGACTTGCGCACTAGTAAGCCATAACTTGTTCCATTGGCTCAAGGTAATCCGTTTCGGCTTCTCTATTTTCCACCCTAATATCTCCTACACGAGGCCCTTCAGCCCGATCACTCTATTTCCCACCCTAATATCCCTTACGCGCCCAGTCATGCAGGTCCTTCACGTTGGTCACATTGAGGCGTGGTGGTTGACCAGCTTCTGGACGTTATCGTGGATTCCAACCCCGACAAAGACGTAGGAGCAGTTGCCGAGGAAATCGATGAGGGACTGGGTGATGCTAGACTCATGTTGAAATAGGAAAATCAGAAAACGCGTGCCCTCTGCAATCTGCAGGAGTGCAACTGGGTTGTCTTGGTCATGCAAGTTGGGAAACCATCCGATGTCCGGACCGATGATGTGGAGCCCCGAGTTGCGGGACGAGCCAACGTCGCGGAGCTCAGAGCTGCAGGACGTGAGCCAGTCGGTTGCGATGGAATGAGAGTGGGTGACCATGGTCTGAATACTGTAGTCGTGGAAGGTTACAGTGTATATGTTGTGGGTGTATTCTTCGATCTCGTGATCGATGATCGATATCCCGTGCGAAGACATGGTGTAGAAGAAGAAGAGAGACTAAAGGAGACAGAGAGAGCAGAGCACGATGCATGAATAATACTCGGGTTGTGCTTTTTATAGTGAAATACAGTGCACTGCGACTTCTTACAAACTACAATGAAACCAACGTAGGAGCAAGGGCTTGTGAATCTGATTGCTCTTTGCTAAATGCGCTCAGACAAGACCTCCAGTTTCTTAATTTTAGCAAATTAAACATGCAATCCCTTTTCGAGTGAGGCCATACTGTTCTCTTTATATCACCTCCATAAATTTGTTGCCATTTTCATGTTTATGACAGTCATAAACATGAAAATAGAAACGGCAATAAATTTACAGAGTTTCGATTGGTACTCTCAAAGGGGGTTCCTGGCCATTCAACGGTGAGCAGCGATTTTATTGTCTAGTTGGAACATACCTTTGTCGCGACCTTCCCGAACTGATCGGATTAGGCCAAGAGGTATTTGTCAATGGATGTGAATGTTAATTGATTCGTTCGAATGAGGAACCAAATAGTTCATTAATCCAAAGACCGAGGGGCTCCCGAGCCTCATACCTCATGCGACGAGAATTGTCTAAACTAAGCATTCGATTGGAGTTGCCACTAGCCATAATCAAAGATCGGCTAGAAACCCTAACCGAGATGCGGGAGTGTCGTCTTGATACGTGCGAAAACCAGAGATTCTAAAATTTAGGGACTTGATTACACTAGCGATCTACTAGTGCCCTTTAGGTACCTAAACTTGATCACTCGCAAACTAATGTATTGGGCAGCCTATCGAAAAAGTTAAGATTTCACCTAATCGTTCTAAAAATAGAAAATAACAATCATTATATTAAAAGTGTGCAACTGGATAATCATAAAGAAAATAAACAATCAGCGACCTAGCATCGTTTCTAGAAAGGAAAAGACAATCAAAAGCCCTAATGGCTTATTCGATTTTTGGAAATTTCTTAGAGGTTTTTCTCATTTTTTAAGCTTTTAACCTAAAATCTAGTGAAATTAAGCCCAAAACTGATTTCTGGACATTTCCTAATTTTCTGAATTTTTTAGAATTTTTTCTGAATTTTTTAATGTTTTTCAGACTTTTTTTAGATTTTTTAACATTTTCGAATTTTTTGGAATTTTTAATATTTTAATTATTTTTTGGAATTTTTTAATGTTTATTAATAAAATAAGGATTCAGACCGGATCCCCTGACCCGATCCGCCCGACACCTGACCCGAAATTCCGACCCTACCCGGGACCCCATTTTCATTTCTTTTCAATTTTTTCTTTTGATTTTCCCCTTTCTCTTTTTTTCTTTTTCTTTTGTTTCTTTACTTTTTTCTATTTTTTTATTACTCTTCTTCGGGTGCGTTTGGTACAGCATTGGGAAGGGGCTTTCAGCCCCGAAAGCCCCTTCCCAAAAATGCTGAACCAAACGGTTAGCATTGAGCATTGAAAATGCTCAAAACTAGCATTTTCAATCTTGAAAGCCCAATCGATCGACTAGCTTTGGACTTTCAGCCTTGAACCAAATGCCAAAATCATTTTTATACTTCCCAAACTACCCTCACTCAAATTTCAATATTCCGGCTTTGCCCTCTCGTTCTTGTTCATCTTCTTCACCAAAGGGACTCCGCGAGGGCAAAGGGCCTCGCGACTGCGAAGGTCCGGCGAGGTCGCCCGACCAGTGCGACGGCCGCCGGTCGCGATCGCCCAGTGCGGCGCTCGGGGTCTGGGCGATCGCCAGTGCGGCCGCTAGGTCCCGCGACCTCGGGCGACCGCCGTCGCCCGAGGTCGCTGACCCAGGCGGCCGGGCCTGGGGTCGCGCTGACCCAGCGGCCGCCGGCTGGGGTCGCGCGACCCAGGGCGGCCGTCGCCCTGGGGTCGCGCTACCCTCGAGGGGCCGTCCGCTGGGTCGCGCGACCCAGGGCGGCCCGTCGGCTCGGGTCAGCGCGACCCAGGGACGGCCAGTCGGCTGGGTCAGCGCGACCCGTGCGACCGTCGGCCCGAGGTCGCGCGACCTCAGCCTCGTCGCCCGAGGTCGGCTGTCCTCGCCGGGGGTCGCTCGGCCGGGACGGCGACGACGGCCGGCGCCGGCGCCAGATCCGGGCTCGCCGGCGGCCGTAGCCCTTCACGGAGGCCGTAGCCCTTCGCCGGAGCTGGCGAAGGGTACTTTTGCCTTTTTTAAAAAAAACCCCCCAAAGCCCATTTGTAAAAAAAATTAACCAAACACCACTTGGGTCAAAATAGCTTTGCAAATGAGTTTTTACCAAACGCCATTTGTATTTTTCCTAAAGGGCTTCCACCCAAAGGCATTTGCATTTCCAAAGTAGCATTCCAAATGCTGTACCAAACGCACCCTTCATCCCCTTCGTGCCTTTCCCATGCACGTCTTCCCCAGAACGTTTTCTCCTTTGCTTCTTCAACCAAGAACTCATCGAGACATCACCGAAGATAACCATCGCCGAGGAAGCCCACCGCCGGCCGTCGACTCGAGCCGCCAACGTCAGTGGCGGACGCTGGTCTTACGCCGTCGCCGAAGGTCGATGTTCCAAGAATCCGCACCCCGCGACTTGGAGAAAAACCACATTTCCTCGCCGGCGACTCGAAATACACTTTCCGACCGTCCCAACGTTCGGCCCCAAAGAAACATGCTAAAACCAAACAACCCAACATACGGACAAACAAAGAAAGATCGAAAACTAACGGGCGGCCTCAACCGCGGCATCGCTCCTAAGAACGAAAAGCTTTCCCGGGTACGGAATGTACACATGGTCGACTCGTACCGGAGTTAACATGCCATAAAATCACACGAAATCAAGGAGTCAGTGACCAAACATCAATCTCCAACGAATAAAGCATAAATCAAAGGTTCTACGGATTGTTTTCGTGTTTTTTCAGTTTCAGTCCTCACTCGGGCATTTCATCAAACATGTGAGGAGCGTTTGAAAGATGGGATCCCAGATCCGATTTCGACGAAGTTTACGGTTGATTTTCAACATATAACACTTAGAACAACTTCATTGGGTGCCAAAAAACTGTTTATCTCCGTCGACGGGGCCGGGCGACCACCGAATAGGCTCGGTGTGCCAGGCACCCGAGAGGCGGGGGAAGGGGTAGCAAAAACGGGGGACCTGAGCAAGTACCCACCTGGTTCGCGGTCGACCGGAGCGAGGCACGATGGCTGGGGGGGCTCGGCGATGGTTCAGACGGTCCTCCGGCGAGCGGAGGAGGCTCGAGCCTCTCCGATTCACTTCAACTTTCTCTCGGTCTCCCCTTTCTCTCTTGAAACTCTCTCCTTTTTTTTTTCTCTTTGACTACTCTCTATTCTCTCCCTTTTGTGCCTTTTTTTTTTTTTACTCTCCCCCAAAGATCTCTCTTTTCCTTCTCCATCTCCTATCCAACTCTTCTTTCTTATCTGTTTCTTCCCTTTCGTGCCTCAAGCTCCCCCCCTCTCTTTGGTTTCAAGGAGCCCCCCACCAAAACAGACCTTCCTCCCTGTTAACTCTTCTCCCTTTTTTTTTTTCTTCTTTCTTGGTCCCTCTCCCCGCTCTCTATTCTCTCACGGTTTCACCTCTGTTCTCTCTTTTTGAACTGTCCTCCCTGTCTCTGTTTTTTCTTCTCGGTAACTTCCATGTTCTTCCTTTTTCTCCTCCATCTCCTATCCCCCCCTTTAGCTCTCTCGAGTTCTCTCTCAGAACTCTCTCTTCTCCTTTTCAAAAACTCCCCCCTCCGTCCTCTTCCTCTTCTCTTGCTCATCAAGCTTTATCCTCCCCGTTCTCTCTCCAGTCAAACTCTATCTTGACTCCCCCTTTTCATGTGCAGATTATCGTGTTGCCTTTTTCGTGTGTCCGTGGATGGAGACCAGAGAGCGAGAGAAAGAAAGGCTTTCGTCTCAATCCTCTGGAGAGAAGTGTTTCTCTCTTGTCTTTTCTTTGGCTTTTCCTTTCTCGATCTGGTGCTCTCCTCTCTGCGATTTCTCCTTTTTCTTTTAAGCCTCGGGACCGTAAAGCTTTTCTCCATTTTCTTTCTTGTTTTTTTTTCGTGTTCTGCTTTCTTCTCTCTTTTTTTCTCACGAAAACATGCAGCCCCCTTTTCTTGTGCTTTCTCACTTGTTTCTTTATTTGTGAAAGTGTTGAAAGAGAGAGAAACAAATCTCCTTGTGTTAGTCCGGGAAGAAGAAAGGAAAAGGCTTCATTCATCATTTTTGTCTTTTTCCTTCCTTCTTTGTTTTTTTTTTCTTCCTTCACTCCTCTCTACTTTCTCTGTTTTTCTCCGAAGCTGAACACCTTTTTCTTTTTGGGTGTAAGTGTGCAGAGGGGAGGGCGCCTGTCTATGGGGAAGATAGCGTCTCCTTTTTTTTTCTCTCT